CAGCTAGCCAGCTAACTAGCTAACTAGCTACTTGCTAGCTAGCGGTTTTCACCATTGTCCGTGGCCTGCACTACCTATCAGCCAGCTCTAGCCTGGACTATTATCGGCCAGTCTGCACTGTCTGCACAGCGCGCTATCGACCAAGAACATATCGGATTTTCTGCCGGAATCACTGAATCACTGGACCTTAACACCGGATCATTGCAACTAGCTAGCTGCAACCGAATGGATGTTGTTGGCTAATCACCACCACCCCCGAAGCAAGCACCAGTTAGCCTTGAACTAGCCTCGAGCCAGGCCAATCTCCCGGCTATCTCCCTCTCTGTCAACCGGTCGGGACCTCCTAGTGTCGACACGGAGCCCCGCCGATCCATCACGACTGGTCTGCTGACATAATCGTCTGATGTGGTTACAACAGGCTTCCCGTTGCGACGACCATGAAGATCCATCTGCTAGCCCAGTAACAAACAGATCACCGACCATTTCGAATCCCACCGTACCTTCTCCACTATGAAATCTGGTTTCCGAGCTGGTCATGGGTGCACCTCAGCCACGCTAAAGGTCCTAAACTATATTATAACTGCGATCGATAAAAGACAGTACTGTGCAGCCGTCTTCATCGACCTGGCCAAGGCTTTCGACTCTGTCAATCACCGCATTCTTACTGGCAGACTAAATAGCCTTTGTTTCTCAAATGACTGCCTCGCCTGGTTCACCAACTACTTCTCAGATAGAGTTCAATGTGTCATATCAGAGGGCCTATTTTCTGGTCCTCTGGCAGTCTCTATGGGGGTGCCACAGGGTTCAATTCTCAGGCCGACTCTATTCTTTGTGTATATCATTGATGTCGCTCTTGCTGCTGGTGACTCTCAGATTCACCTCTATGCAGACGACACCATTTTGTATACATCTGGCCCTTCATTGGACACTGTGTTAACAAACCTCCAAACGAGCTTCAATGCCATACAACACTCCTTCCGTAGTAGTAGTAGTAGTAAAACTAAATGTATGCTCTTCAATCGAACGCTGCTTGCACCCGCCTGCCCGACTAGAATCACTACTCTCGGCGGGTCTGACTTAGAATATGTGGAAAACTACAAATACGTAGGTGTCTGGTTAGACCGTAAACTCTCCTTCCAGACTCACATTAAGCATCTCCAATCCAAAGTTAAATCTAGAATCGGCTTCCTATTTCGCAACAAAGCCTCCTTCACTCATGCTGCCAAACATGCCCTCGTAAAACTGACTATTACTACTACAATGGTATTGTTACTGCTATGATACTAGTACTATTATGGTATTACTACTACTACTACTATGGTATTACTACTACTATGGTATTACTACTAATATGGCATTCCTACTAATATGGTATTACTACTGCTATGGTATTACTACTACTATGGTATTACTACTGCTATGGTACTACTACTACTACTACTATGATACTACTACTACTATGGTATTACTACTGCTATGGTAGTTCTACTGCTATGGTATTACCACTACCATGGTATTACTTCTGCTATTATACTACATCTATGGTATTACTGCTACTATGGTACTACTACACTACGGTACTACTACTACTACCACTATGGTACTACTACTACTACTACTACCACTACGGTACTACTACTACTACCACTACGGTACTACTACTACTACCACTACGGTACTACTACTACTACCACTATGGTACTACTACTACTACTACTACTACTACTACTATGGTACTAATACTACTATGGTACTAATAATACTAAGGTACTACTACTACTGCTACTATTACTACTACTACTGCTGCTATGGTATTACTTCTACTATGGTACTACTGCTACTATGGTGCTACTACTACTATGGTACTACCACTACTGCTATTACTACTACTATGGTATTACTACTACTATGGTACTAATGCTACTATGGTACTGCTACTAATACTACTACTACTACTACTACTACTACTACTACTACTACTACTACTACTACTACTACTATTACTACTGCTATTACTACTACTACCACTACTATGGTATTACTACTACTATGGTATTATTACTACTATGGTATTACTACTGCTATGGTATTATTACTACTACTACTACTACTACTACTATTACTGCTACTAATATGGTATTACTACTACTATGGTATTATTACTACTAAGGTTTTACTACTACTATGGTATTACTACTGCTATGTTACTATTACTATGGTATTACAACAATGGTATTACTACTACAATGGTATTGTTACTGCTATGATACTAGTACTATTATGGTATTACTACTACTACTACTATGGTATTACTTTTACTATGGTATTACTACTAATATGGTATTACTACTACTATGGTATTACTACTACAATGGTATTGTTACTGCTATGATACTAGTACTATTATGGTATTACTACTACTACTGTGGTATTACTACTACTATGGTATTACTACTAATATGGTATTACTACTGCTATGGTATTACTACTTCTATGGTATTACTACTACTAGTATGGTACTGCTACTACTACTAATAATACTACTACTACTACTATTATTACTACTACTACTACTACTACTACTACAGCTATGGTACTACTATTACTATGGTACTTCTACTAGTACTATGGTATTGCTACTATTATGGTATTACTACTACTACTACTATAGTACTACTACTATGGTATTACTACTACTATGGTATTACTACTACTATTTTACTATTACAACTATGGTACTACTACTACTACTACTACTACTAGTATGGTACTGCTACTACTACTACTATTACTACTACTATGGTATTACTACAGCTATGGTACTACTATTACTATGGTACTACAACTACTACTATGGTATTACTACTACTACAACTACTATAGTATTACTACTGCTATACACCCCGGGATGGAAGTTAATCTAGCTTGCTAGCCCGAGGCCAGTACTTTTCAGACCGGGTTACTGTGCCCAACTAACCCGTTATTGCTGTACAGGTCACAGCCCAGTGGGCACAGAAGTAAATTCAATATCTATTCCAAGGGGGTTTAACGTAATTTCTTTTAAATGACATGGAAACAATGTTGATTCAACCAGTATGTGCCCAGTGGGTGATGTATGCTACTGCTGAAGTTGCGCAGTCAAATCCAAGCAGCAAGCCTTACCCAGAATACCCCATAACGACTTCCCCTCTCTACAGAGTGAATCGCCATAACCAAGCCACCGGACCCCGGAGACACATTGTGAAGTCATCACCACCACTATAGCCATGGTCCTGCTGTGTCTGTTTCCATCTAGACATGGGGGACATACAGGGGGACATACAGGGGCCACAGGGCTATGGGCACTGTCTGTCAGTTAACGGAGTGAGCTCTGATGACTTCAGCTCTGCTGCTCTGGGACAGAGAGAGCAGAGGAGTCCTTTCAGACCACAGTGGAAGCGCAGAAGCAAGCAGAAGCTACTGTTTAATCATTTGAAGCTAATGTCGCCATCTAGCGGGTGTATTTAATAGTGGAACTGTCCTCCCAAGGGTAGTCTAGTATAAACAAACTCGATATATCTTATTCCTCTTATCGTAGTTTGCTCATGGCCACACGTGATGTCACTGTGCAGGTATCATTTCAGAGCTGTTGAGTGAGCCATTGCAGTATGTGTCTCTGGAACTGGTTTCTGTTGCTCAGAATGGTTTGTGCTGGAAACAAGTCTGCAATACTTAGTGGTCTATAGGCATAGGCCTACAATTAGTAATCTATAGCACTGGAGGTTGGTAGCTCCTTAATTGGGGAGAACGGGCTAGTGGTAAGGACTGGAGCAGAATCAGTGGAATGGTATCAAATACATGTGGTCCTCTGTAGCTCTATTGGTAGAGCATGGCGCTTGTAACGCCAGGGTAGTGGGTTCGATCCCCGGGACCACCCATACGTAAAAATGTATGCACACATGACTGTAAGTAGCTTTGGATAAAAGCGTCTGCTAAATGGCATATTATATTATTATTATCAAACACATGGTTTCCATTTGCTCTGTTCCGGCCATTATTATGAGCCGTCCTCCCCTCAGCAGCCTCCACTGATCTATAGGCATCAATTAGTTATCTATAGGCATACGCCTACAATGTGGTCCTCTGTAGCTCAGCTGGTAGAGCACGGTGCTTGTAACGCCAGGGTAGTGGGTTCGATCCCCGGGACCACCCATAAATGTATGCATGCATGACTGTAAGTCGCTTTGGATAAAAGCGTCTGCTAAATGGCATTATTATTAATTAGTAATAATTTTTTGGAATGGGAGAGGCCGATTTTAACATTCTGCCTTAAAAGGCAACATCCTTGTAGGTTGGGACACCGTCTGTGTCTAGCCTGTTTCTCCCATAATGATTGGAACAATTGTGTTTTTCTTACAGAAATAATGCATTGGGCAGGATATATCGGTCATTGCATTCCATAGAGAATGATAGTGGCGTCTAGTGGCCAAAATACAGTTTTAGCGTGGCCAGCGCCACTGAGGGCTTCCACCATTTTAATGTAGTCAACTGCGTGGCTTCCAACATTATAATGTAGTCAACTGCGTGGCTTCCACCATTTTAATGTAGTCAACTGCGTGGGACTTCCAGCTTTATTGCTGATTCATCTTGATGACCCTGTTGGAGGCTTGTGAAGATATATGGACTACTTCAAAATGGAGATTGCCTCAGCGGCTCTGCACGTGGGCTCACAGACGCCATAATCGGAACTATATAGGGATGCTTTCTCTATCATTCTCTATGTTGCATACAAAACCGTGGACAGGGGAGGCGGGGCCGCCCTAGATTCTGGCGCGGATTCGGAGCTATATGGACGAGCTGATTGGTTTAACCAATTTCAGCGCATTCAGTTTTCATTGGCTTAGAATGCCATCTATTGTTTCACGGCCAATGATTCGCTGCCTTCTATTTGATGGTTTTCCTTGCCAGAAACCCCTCCCTTCCTACGCTACGGAGTCCCCCCCCCCCACTCCCTCTCCCCCTGTGATACCAACTACGATTGAATTCGGACAGCATGTTTGCATGGAAAAGGGTGCTCAGGCAAATATTTAGCTAGAGAAAAAATGAATTGGTCATTACGTGTGCGAAATATTATTTAGGCTATTCTGGATTACAGAGACGGCATTCTAACGCAAGATAAATAATTAAAGCGGTAATAGCTACAGCGGATTAATATTGTTAGCTTGAGTGGTTGGCTAGCTAGTTAGACATCGGGACTACTAAATCAACATGGCATTGTAGCCTATCGGATATTTCAACCTTCCATATGTCATGTCATGTGGATACAACGTTACATTGATGTTGATGTCTCATTGATTGAACTGAACGAGAGAGAGAGAGAGAATGTATCCCGAGACAACCACAGAGACAAGCAGAGGAATCTGAATCGACATAATCCATCTGCAGCGGGGCGTCGGGACGAATGGTGATGATGGCTTCGTGGCGATGGACAGCAGTTCTCATCTGTTTACAATGGGGTGAGTCATTTCTCAGAACGCTGTCTAACCTAGCTACTATGCCTACCTGCTAATGTTTCATACAACATGCCCTTAAACCGTGTGCCATCTGTCAATTGGTGAGGTAACATGTTGTCCCTTCGCAGCCTGGCATATGGTCTGATTTAATTATCGTATTATTGCATGCATTGGATATCAGTAAAGAGCATTCGAAGAGATCTGTGTTCGTCATCTGACATGTAGAGGGTGTTTTTTTCTACAACTCGCTCTAAGCCGGACATTTATTAGTGGTGATGCACTTACCGCCCAGTCTCCTATTGCACTAGTCTCTCTCTCTCTCTCTCTCTCTCTCTCGTTCTCTCTCTCTCAGCAAGGGAATTACATCTACAAATGAAACATGAGCTGAGATGGCTCTCACAGAATAACATAATCATTTGATGACATTTTTTTTTATCTACTGTACTACCCAGGCTGAATACAGACATACAGACAGACTTACAGACAGACGTACAGACAGACTCACAGATAGTGCTGGCTGTGACCATTCCATGCATCCATCTCCTGGCCATATTATAGCCTACTGTGCTCCCAGGCTGAATACAGACAAACTGTATTAGGCCTATATGCAGACAGCCAGAACTGGGGGAAGTGACTGCACCTCAGTACCAACATATACAGTCAGTCTCTGCTCCAGACCAGCCCTATCAGTCTTACAGCCTTAATTAGATATCCTGATCCCTCTTAAGCCCTGTTCTCTGTACCAGTCTCTCTACCAGCTCATTATCTCTAGGCCTGCTATTTAATTCACGCCTTTGTCATGTCTGTTAGCCTGCACTAGAGCCTGCACCTAGTGTTAGCGACAGGCTCTGACAGGTGCCCAGGCCTGTGTTGCAACACCCCTGCACCTGTATTTCTAGTTATTCTGGATCAGCTGGTGGATAATTTGGGCAGCGTGAGAAGGGCGTTTTCCAATCGACCCCCAACGTTCTGCGTACCTGTGCAGGTTACCTCACTATGTCACCTCACTACGTCAGCATCTCCTTTAGGAGATCGAGGCTACGTGTCAGGGTTGCTTCCAGAGTTTCAGTATCTCACTCTGGAAGTATGTGTTTCATCATCAAACAGGGACGTTTCCGTGTCTGCATTACACCACACATGTAATATATTAGAATAGTTTTAGGGAATTGAAAGTGTCTACATGGAAGTTTCTAGTTTTAGACTAGTCAGTAACTGGAACTAAAGAACGTTATCATTGTAGATTAGAAATATACATCTTTTGGAGAGGTCAGAGGAAGTATATTGACATGACAGGATATGAAGTCTTGTGCTGTGAAATAAATAATACTATGATTTTATTGTGCAATTATGTGATGTGTTTAAGCCAATGAAGAAAACTAAATGTAACAATGCCTGAAACTAGATCAAATTCCATCTTTCTATAATGGGCTAAGTAACATATTGATCTTCTGTACAATAGCCTACATATTGGTTCAGCCAGTCTGTCAGTGTATTGACTGGTGGTGTGTCACTGAACATAACAGACCTACACAGCGTGACTGACATATATTCCCTTCCCTCCCTCTCTGTGCCCCTCTCCCTCTCTGTGCCCCTCTCTCTCTCTGTGCCCCTCTCCCTCTCTGTGCCCCTCTCTCTCTCTCTGTGCCCCTCTCTCTCTCTGTGCCCCTCTCTCTCTCTGTGCCCCTCTCTCTCTCTGTGCCCCTCTCTCTCTCTGTGCCCCTCTCTCTCTCTGGGCCCCTCTCTCTCTCTGTGCCCCTTTCCGCTCTCTGCCCTCTCCCTCTGGCCTCTTCCTCTCTGTGCTCCCCTTTGCCCCTCTCTAAAATCTCTGTGCACCATCTTCTCTCTGTGCCCTCGTTCTCCTATCTTGCCCCTCTCTCCTCTTCCCTCTTCTCTGGCTCATGTCTCGCTCTCTCTCCTCATGCTCCTCTCTCTCTCTCTCTCTCTCTCTCTCTCTCTCCTCTCTCTCTCTCTCTCTCTCTCTCTCTCTCTCTCTCTCTCTCTCTCTCTCTCTCCCCATCTCTCTTTCCCCCCTGTTTCTCTCTCCTCCAGTGTTCCAGTACGCCCTGTGTCGCGAGGTAACCCTTCCCTCCGGACCCCTATACCGCGTGGCAGGGTTCCCCCTCTCCATCCCCTGTGCTGTATCAGGCTACGAGGGTTCCCGAACGCAGGACTTTGAGTGGTACCTGTACAGGGAGGACTCCCAGGGGAGACAGATGGGTGTGATCTCCACCAGGGACCCCGGGTTTCCTTACACACCCTTCCAGGTAGGGAGGAGTTCAATGCAGGCTTTTTCATAATGAATTAGGCCTAGATGGTTAGGACTAGTTGGCCCTAGTTGCAAGCCATCTATGTTCATTTTAAACGAATAAATCTGAGTTTTCTATCAAAGTACAGTGACAGGTGGGCATGCATGTATACTAGCTATGTACCGTATGCTTACTTATCTATTGGGGGTAACTTTTAGCTGTACGAGTTTATTTAAACTCACATCTCTGGGCCTCCCGAGTGGCACAGCGGTCTAAGGCGCTGCATCGCAGTGTAGCGGCGTCACTACAGCCTGGGGTTCGATCCCTGTGTCATTACCGGCCGTGACCGGGAGTCCCATAGGGAGGCACACAATTGGCCCAGCGTCGTCCGGGTGAGGGGAGGGTTTGGCCCAGCGTCGTCCGGGTGAGGGGAGGGTTTGGCCCAGCGTCGTCCGGGTGAGGGGAGGGTTTGGCCCAGCGTCGTCCGGGTGAGGGGAGGGTTTGGCCCAGCGTCGTCCGGGTGAGGGGAGGGTTTGGCCCAGCGTCGTCCGGGTGAGGGGAGGGTTTGGCCCAGCGTCGTCCGGGTGAGGGGAGGGTTTGGCCCAGCGTCGTCCGGGTGAGGGGAGGGTTTGGCCCAGCGTCGTCCGGGTGAGGGGAGGGTTTGGCCGGGGGGGGCTTTACTTGGCTCATCGTGGGTCGGGCGCCTGCAGGCTGACCTTGGTTGTCAGTTGAACAGTGTTTCCTCTGACACATTAGCGTGGCTGGCTTCCAGGTTAAGGGGGCGGGTGATAATAATAATAATAATATGCCATTTAGCAGACGCTTTTATCCAAAGCGACTTACAGTCGTGCGTGCATACATTTTTGTGTATGGGTGGTCCCGGGGATCGAACCCACTACCTTGGCGTTACAAGCGCCGTGCTCTACCAGCTGAGCTACAGAGGACCACTGAAGCGCGGTTTGAATTACGATCTTGTCTCATCGCTGCAACTCCCCAAAGGGCTCGGGACAGGCGAAGGTCGAGTCATGCATCCTCCAAAGCATGATCCGCCAAACCGCGGTTAAGAAGCGCGGTTTGGCGGATCATGTTTTGGAGGACGCATGACTCGACCTTCGCCTGTCCCGAGCCCTTTGGGGAGTTGCAGCGATGAGACAAGATCGTAATCACGAAATTGGGGAGAAAAAGGGGGGGAAATTACAAAAAAAAAAAAAAAAAAAAACATTACTCACATCTCTGTTCACCAATGGAAAATATCTCTTAAATGTGTTTATTTTGAATAATCGATTATTCTAACTTAGGGCTGCACAATTAATCGAAATTGATGTTTGCAAAATCCTTAAAAAAAACACCATGAATGTAACATTCGCATGCAATAAGGGTCCCTTGGTAAACTCTGACCAACACTTTGGTTCCTGTCACAACAACATCTACTGTACCTGTCTTTGTCATTGGTTGTCATGCCAACACCAACCATAGAATTGGAATACTAATTATTTCAATGATTCCAACAGTTCCAAGTGTACAGTTCAAAAATCGTAATCGCAATATTTGGATTAAAAATTATAATTAGATTATTGGCCATATCGTGCAGCCCTAATCTAACTCTTTCTGTCCTTCCAGGCGCGGGTGAGGTCCGGGGACGTGAGGGTGGAGAGGGACTCGGGGGACAAGGCCAGGCTGGTGTTCCAGAGGCTACGCGCAGATGACCAGGGTCGATACGAGTGTTACACACCCAGCACAGACTCCAAATACCAAGGCAACTACAGTGCCTTGGTCGCCGTCAAAGGTTGGTAGGCGTGGGCCTGTATTCACAAAGCGTCCCAGAAGAGGAGTGCTGAATCTGGATCCGTTTTTCCTGTGGACAGGGAGGAACTGATCCCAGATCAGCACTACCTTTCTGCCCTCCTCTTCCTGGTTCCTGGTTAGGAACTGGTTTAGGCAGTCTGTGTTATCTTGTGGACTTTGTTCTCTCTCTGACAGCTTGGTTGAGAATGTGTCCTGCCTTGTTCTATCACACATCTGATTGGCACTGGTCCCATACTTTTCCACCCTATCTTTACTGATTTAGGTCTACGCTATTCTTTATTACTTGTAATTACATTTTTGCACAATTGTAAAAATCATTTTTGCATAGAAATTCTATTCTTATCTACAATCTACTATGACCTTTCCCCAGCAAATGATAACGTACTTATGATCTGTCACCGAAGCAGTGTTCCTCTGAGTGACCCTAACCTCTATACATCCTTTGCTATAGCAAAAATCTAACATGAATTCAATTTAGTATATAACTAACCTCTACGATACTTATGTATGTGTTTATATGTCCTATCATATCTATATCTCTATAGAGGCTGTCATGTCGTATGTAAGGTCTCTCGTCTCGTCCTTGCTCCAGGTGTATCCGGCAATCTTAAAGGGGCGATTGGTTTTGGGAGTGGTTGGGGGGGAGGATGGTGAGGGCTGGAGGGGAAAAAAGAGAGGAATGCAGAGGAAGAGCAGTGAGAAAGAGGAGCAGTAAGGGGAGGACTCGGCGATAGATAAATCCGAGTTAGTAAGGCTCTAGGAATTTTCGCGATCTTTTCGATAGTCTGCTCGATAGTCATTCTCTCTTGCTATTTGATCTTCAGCTCTCTCTCTCTTTTATCTATCTTCTAACAGTTGTGTCCCAAAACACTCTCCGATTAGCTTTCTCCGCTTCTAAAATGGCCAACCTGTGCCAGAGGGGGGCGGAGATAAAAATTCACTGCTCCGCCGGCGTCCAATCAAAACAGCACACCCACCTGTCCATCACATTCGGCGTGCGTGGCGGTGGTAGCGGGACCGGGTCGGGGTCAAGCTCAGGGACACCGAGAGAAATCATAGCTATCGATAAAGAACTGGGCCTGACTCCTGGCCGAGGGGAGTCCTACCAGAAGAGATATGATGATGGAGAGATAACGCTGGTGAAGAAGAGTGGAGATGGAGGGAGAGATGTCTATGTGATGAGGGTGAGTGCCGTGGCCCCGGAGGACTCAGGGGCCTACTTCTGTGAGGCGTCACAGTGGATCCTGGACCCTGATGGAGCGTGGCAGAAGATCGCTCAGAGGACCCTGGAGATTGGCAACCTCACGGTTCAACCACTAGGTACGTCACTGTCTGTCTGTGGAGTGTGAGGGGGTTGTTCAGAGAAAAGAGATGTTAGGACACTGTCTGTCTGTGGAGTGTGGGGGGTTGTTCAGAGAACATTTACATTACATTTTAGTCATTTAGCAGACGCTCTTATCCAGAGCGACTTACAGGAGCAATTAGGGTTAAGTGCCTTGCTCAAGGGCACATTTACGTCATTTAGCAGACGCTCTTATCCAGAGCGACTTACAAATTGGTGCATTCACCCTATAGCCAGTGGGATAACCACTTTACAATTATTATTATTTTTATTTTTTTTGGGGGTGGGGGGGGGGGGGGGTGGAAGGATTACTTTATCCTATCCCAGGTATTCTTTAAAGAGGTGGGGTTTCAAATGTCTCCGGAAGGTGGTGAGTGACTCCGCTGTCCTGGCGTCGTGAGGGAGCTTGTTCCACCATTGGGGGTGCCAGAGCAAGCGAACAGTTTTGACTGGGCTGAGCGGGGAACTATGCTTCCGCAGAGGAAGGGGAGCCAGCAGGCCAGAGGTGGATGAACGCAATGCCCTCGTTTGGGTTGTAGGGACTGATCAGAGCCCGAAGGTACAGAGGTGCCGTTCCCCTCACTGCTCCATAGGCAAGCACCATGGTCTTGTAACGGATGCGAGCTTCAACTGGAAGCCAGTGGAGTGTGCGGAGGAGGGGGGGGGGGTGACGTGAGAGAACTTGGGAAGGTTGAACACCAGACGGGCTGCGGCATTCTGGATGAGTTGTAGGGGTTTAATGGCACAGGCAGGGAGGCCAGCCAACAGCGAGTTGCAGTAATCCAGACGGGAGATGACAAGTGCCTGGATTAGGACCTGTGCCGCTTCCTGTGTAAGGCAGGGTCGTACTCTCCGAATGTTGTAGAGCATGAACCTGCAGGATCGGGTCACCGCCTTGATGTTAGCGGAGAACGACAGGGTGTTGTCCAGGGTCACGCCAAGGCTCTTCGCACTCTGGGAGGAGGACACAACGGAGTTGTCAAACCGTGATGGCGAGATCATGGAACGGGCAGTCCTTCCCCGGGAGGAAGAGCAGCTCCGTCTTGCCAGGGTTCAGCTTGAGGTGGTGATCCGTCATCCATACTGATATGTCTGCCAGACATGCAGAGATGCGATTCGCCACCTGGTTATCAGAAGGGGGAAAGGAGAAGATTAGTTGTGGTATCGTCAGCGTAGCAATGATAGGAGAGGCCATGTGAGGATATGACAGAGCCAAGTGACTTGGTGTATAGGGAGAATAGGAGAGGGCCTAGAACTGAGCCCTGGGGGACACCAGTGGTGAGAGCACGTGGTGCGGGAGACAGCTTCTCGCCACGCCACTTGGTAGGAGCGACCGGTCAGGTAGGACGCAATCCAGGAGTGAGCCGCGCCAGGAGATGCCCAGCTCGGAGAGGGTGGAGAGGAGGATCTGATGGTTCACAGTATCAAAAGGCAGCAGACAGGTCTAGAAGGACAAGAGCAGAGAAGAGAGAGTTAGCTTTAGCAGTGCGGAGAGCTCCGTGACAACAGAGAAGAGCAGTCTCAGTTGAATGACCAGTCCTGAAACCTGACTGGTTTGGATCAAGAAGGTCATCTGAGAGAGATAGCAAGAGAGTTGGCTAAAGACGGCAACGCTCAATAGTTTTGGAAAGAAAAGAAAGAAAGGGATACTGGTCTGTAGTTGTTGACATCAGTGGGATCGAGTGTTGGTTTTTTGAGAAGGGGTGCAACTCTCGCTCTCTTGAAGAAAAGAGAAAAGAGATGTTAGGACACTGGTCTGTCTGTGGAGTGTGGGGGGTTGTTCAGAGAAAAGAGATGTTAGGACACTGTCTGTCTGTGGAGTGTGTGGGGTTGTTCGAGAAAAAGAGATGTTAGGACACTGTCTCTGTGGAGTGTGGGGGTTGTTCAGAGAAAAGAGATGTTTAGGACCTGTCTGTCTGTGGAGTGTGGGGGTGTTCAGAGAAAAAGAGATGTTAGGACACGTCTCTGTGGAGTGTGGGGGGTTGTTCAGAGAAAATAGATGTTAGGACACTGTCTGTCTGTGGAGTGTGGGGGTTGTTCAGAGAGAAAGAGATGTAGGACACGGTCTGTCTGTGGAGTGTGGGGGGGTTGTTAGAGAAAAGGATGTTAGGAACTGAGTTGTGGAAGTGGGGTTGTTCAGAGAAAAAGAGATGTAGGACACTGTTGTGTGAGTGTGGGGGGGTTGTTGCAGAGAAAAAGAGAGTTAGGACAATGTTGTCTGTGGAGTGTGGGGGGGTTGTTCAGAGAAAAGAGATGTTAGGACACTGTCTGTCTGTGGAGTGTGGGGGTTTTTCGAGGAAACGTTGATTGAATGTCTAGGGACACTGTCTCTGTCTGTGGGCGTGTGGGGGGTGTTATTCAGAGAAAAGAGAGATAGGACACTGGTCTGTCTGTGGAGTGTGAGGGTTGTTCAGAGAAAAGTGATGGTTAGGGAACACTGGTCCTGTCATGTGGAGTGTCGGGTTTTGTTCAGAGAAAAGGAGATGTTTAGGACACTGTCTGTCTGTTGGAGTGGTGGGGGTTGTTCAGAGAAAAGAGATGTTAGGACACTGTCTGTCTGTGGAGTGTGGGGGGGTTTGTTCAGAGAAAAGAGATGTTAGGACACTGTCTGTCTGTGGAGTGTGGGGGGGGGTTGTTCAGAGAAAAGAGATGTTAGGACACTGTCTGTCTGTGGAGTGTGGGGGGTTGTTCAGAGAAAAGAGATGTTAGGACACTGTCTGTGCGTGGCTCTAAATAAGAGCATCTGCTAAATGACTAAAATGTAATGCAATGGATGCTGTTACTAGTTTGGCCACAGATTCCATTAGCACCCCAGTAGGCCTTGTCTGAGTGCTGTAGGCCTATCCAGTGCAGTCAGTGCATGACATCATCATCATCATCATCATCATCACTAGCATTCTAGAACAATGGGAAACAGAGACATTAGCTTCAGGGGCGCTGTGCTGTGGCTGACCCTGTACTCTTCTCAATATGTGTGTGTTTTAGAGCTGTGGGGCTAGAGCAGAGCACAATTGCAATGTAACAGTTGCGCTAATAAAGTTGCATTGTAGCAGATGTTGAAGTATTCTACTTCCTCACTGTAGGTCTATGTGTTGGTATTGTATCAGCCAGACAATGCTCTACTTGATTCCATTATATTCTCCATAGTCTGTTAGACAAAAGCCCTTCTCCTTTTGTCTAGGGCAGATTACAGAATGCACTCATTCATCGTTAAGAGTAGACTTATAGAATAAACGCAATTGAAGCATTTCATGAAATAGCTAACATAGTTTTCAGAGTGTATTGTTTATAGACGAGAGCTTACTTACAAGGATCCTCTTTTAGGAGGGATTTTGAGATGCTTTCAACTTTTAATTTTAATTTTTTCTTAGTCATTTAGCAGACGCTCTTATCCAGAGCGAATTACAGGAGCAATTTAGGGTTAAGTGCCTTGCTCAAGGGCACATCGACAGATTTTTCACCTAGTCGGCTCTGGGATTAGAACCACCGACCTTTCGGTTACTGGCACAACGCTCTTAACCACTAAGCTACCTGCCGCCCCCTCCTTCAGTGGGAGAACTTGCTATATGGAAATAAACCTTTATTAACAGTGACAATTAACAAATGAAGTTAGTTTGAATGCAGAGCGAACACATTTAATTCCTGATAAATCATGCCATTGGTGGGGGAAGGGAACGAAAGAAGAAAGGGGAATAGACCGAAGAGAAAGAAGAGGAAGAAGAAGAAAGCGAGAAAAATAGAAGAGATGAGACAGAAGGAGAAGAAGAAGGGGAAAAAAGAAAAAGAGAAAGAGAGAGGGAGAAGAAGCGGGAAACAAGAAGAGAAGGGGGAAGAAGACAGGGAAAACAGAAGACAGAAAGAGAGAAAACAAGAAGAACCAAAGACGGGCGACGGGCGGAAAGCAATGAAGTCGCCCACTCTCTTTACATCGCCTATCCCGCGACTTCGCTCTTCCATTGCCGGACCATAAGGAAACCAAGACAGACACACAACATCAAAGGACAAGACGGGAAAGACAGGGCAAGAAAAATGCAGAAGGACAATACGCAGTGCAAGGCGGAGAAGGGGAACACTAAGAGAAGAAGGGAAGTGAGAAGGGAAAGACACAGGGAGAAGAAGGAAAAAGAGGAAGACAGGCAAGCCAGAGGAGAAGACAAAAATCGAAGAGAAGGAGTCCGAAGAATAAGAAAAACCGCAGGATAGACGAGGGAACCGAACGCAAGAAAGAGCGTGAGCAAGAAAGGGGGACCACCTATTTCCCCTTCCCCCCCCCCACCCCCAAAAAATTTCCCCCCCTTTTTTTTTACCCCGACGAAGAGAGAGGCCGGGAGAAGCAGCGGGAACGCAGACGCAAGCGAAGAAGAAGAACAGGACCGAGGAAAAGAGAAGGGAGAGCAGAAGGGACAACACGAGAGGACGAAAAGCCGCGCAGATGGAAGAATAAGAAGGGAAGACGAGACAAAGAAAGACGAAAGGAACAGCAGAGGGCGACGAGGAACCAACAAGAAGAAGAAAGAAGGACAGGAAAAAGAAGCGAGAGACGGAGGACGCAGGGGAAAAAAGAAGACGGATAGAAAGACAGAAGCGACAGACCACGTAACCACCTCTCTTCTCCTTCTTTACCCCCCTAGTTGTCTCCTCTTACCCCTCCTCTCCCTCTTCTCCTCTTACCCCTCCTCTCCCTCCTCCTTCCAGCTGACTCCCTGACTGTAACGTCCACTCCGCGAGGTGAGGTAACTCTCCAGTTAGGCTCCCCTCTCACTCTGACCTGTGAGGTGTCTGGTTTGGCCCCTGGGGGCCGGTCGGGCCTGCTGGTCCAGTGGATGAGGAGGGGCGCCGTGAGCAGCGAGGACAGGGCATTGACGGGCGGAGGGGTGGAGGTTTGTATTGATTATTGTTATTGGTTATTAGGATCTTCCTTTTAGCCCACTAAGGAATTTTATTCAAAGAGTCCTTACAGAGTTGTCCAATTATTGTGTGAAGTTGTCCTTTTAATTATGAAATTGTAAACTGTGCCAAATAATTCAGCTATTTGCTGTTGATAGTATGTAATGCTTCCAATTGTAGATAAAACATATTATTTGGAGCCAGGAAGGCTGTTGGTCAACAGTTATATAGGATCAGAAAGTAAATAATGCTTGTTTGGCTAGTCTTTTTCCAAACACGACTAAGGTTAACCTTTCTGTCTTTCTCTATCTCTGTCTCTCTCCTCTCCCAGGTGGAGGTGGCCAGATACGGCCCAGATGGGGTGGTGAGCTGGGGGGACGACTCCAGCCGGGGAGGTCGGGGTGGAGGGGGTTCCATGGAGAAGGAGGTGGAGGGGCGGTACTCTCTCAGGTTGTTCTCTGCCCACCCAGCTGACTCGGGGGTGTACCGCTGTGCTGTGAGCGTCTACGCTGGGAGGCTTAACCCAGGGCCCTCCAGTGCTGCTACGATCACACAGAGGTCAGAGGGGGTCACCGTCAACCTCAAGACCAAAGGTAAGAGAAAAGACAGATACAAGACCTAAAGACTAGTTTTCCACCCTGCCTTCTCCCCACTAACTGGGCCCTAGTTCACTCCCCCTCATGGATTTAAAAGGATGTATTGGGTGTAATGGAGAAAACTCCCTCAATCTACTTGACAGCAAAGAATTACACCCTTCTGGCAGAGGGGGATCCTGGGGACTGCAGCCAGTGGCTGTCTACAAGTTAAGTCCTGTGTAGCTCAGTTGGTAGAGCATGGCGCTAGCAACGCCAGGGTTGTGGGTTCGATTCCCACGGGGGGCCAGGGGGGCTAGTATGAAAATGTATGCACTCACTAACTGTAAGTCGCTCTGGATAAAAGCGTCTGCTAAAATGTAAAATGCAAGTCAGAGTTCTGGAAGTTGCCCTGGTAAAGCTAAGAGCCTAAAACCACTTGACCTACTACGAGGCTGGGCAGTAGTTTGTAAACAAATATACTACATTAACATGAGCATTGCCATGACAGGTTTGATTGAATTAACAACCAAATACCTAATTGAATTTAACCTATGTTAACCTAATTGATGTACTTTTATGCTAATTTAACCTAATTGAATTGCAACCATCTCTCTCTGTCCCTGTGTCCCTACAGAGGTGAAGGTGTCAGCAGTAGCCAACCTTCCCCGCGGCCCCCTCCTGAAGAGAGGTGACACCATCACCCTGCTCTGCAACATATCTGTGGTAACCACCGGCCCCGCACAGGTGGAGGTCCAATGGCTGCAGAGGGCGGTCCTCCCGGCCCAGGAGGGTGGGGCTACAACAGGGGGCGTGGTCATAGAGAAGGGTGGTGACCAGCCGTCAGTAGAGGAGAAGGGGAGGGTCTTAGCCTCACTTACCTATGAGGGCCTGTCCAGGCTCTATAAGAACAGCAGCTCTGAGGTGATTGGTTACATTTATTTGGCAGTTTAAAAAAAATACTATCAAGGATAACACAATAAAGTATATCAAAGAGAACACAATTGTAATGACTAATATGTGATTGTCTTACCTACCTTATTTGAATGCACTGTATTGCTCTAGATAACAGCGTCTGCTAAAAGAAAATGCGTCTGCTAAAAGACTGAAGTGCGTCTGCTAAAAGACTCAAATGCGTCTGCTAAAAGACCTTTTTCCATTGCGGTCCTTTTGGCATACAGGTCAGCATGGACCGGGTGTCCCCAGGCACCTACAGGCTGAGGATCTTTTCTGCCCAGGACCAGGACCAGGGTCTGTTTGTCTGCCAGGCTGAGGTGTGGGGGCAAGACCCTCATGGAGGATGGTACAACACCGGGGCCAGGGCCCAGTCAGAGACTGTCAGGGTTTACTTGTACGCCAGAGGTGAGTCACTGGGTCTGTGACTGCTAGGTATTTTACATACAGGGAGTGACGATTTAATCCCTGCAGCAGACACACTCAACATTAGTTCCTTATACAAAGAGTGGCTCTGTGAATCACAGATGGTAGTCAGGAAGTGTCTGTATGTCTCCTCTGTTTTCACTCTCCCGCTCACTGTCATCTGGAGGCTGTTAGCCAACAGTTATTAGGGATCATAGTTAGTCACCTTCGAAACATGGCTAACCTATCCTGTCTAATACTGGCATCCTGTCTAATACTGGCATCCTGTCTAATCAAATCAAATCAAATTGTATTTGTCACATGCGCCGAATACAACAGGTGTAGACCTTACAGTGAAATGCTTACTTACAAGCCCTTAACCAACAATGCAGTTTTAAGAAAGGATACCTAAAAAAATAAGAAATAAAGGTAACAAATAATGACTTATTATTGTTATTAATAATACTGCCATCCTGTCTAATACTGCCATCCTGTCTAATACTGCCATCCTGTCTAATACTGCCATCCTGTCTATTACTCTCAATTGTAAAGGAAACGGTTTATGAGGAAAGCTAGTCGTTTCCAAACGTGACTAACTCATCTCTCCCTTCCTCCCTCCCTCCCTCCCTCTCTATCTCCCTCCCTCTCTATCTCCCTCCCTCTCTATCTCCCTCTCTATCTCCCTCCCTCTCTATCTCCTCTCTCTCCTCCCTCCTCTCTCTCTCCGCAGCGGCCGACCTGCTACTCATCCCCTTGGTTGTGGGCATGTCCTCTGCCTTGTTTGTGGGCGTGGTCATTATCGCCACGGTAACCTGTTGCTTCATGAAGCGATTGGCCAGGCAGCGCTCCCCAAAATAGGAAGTAAGAAGTCACGACAAGTTCACTGAAGGGTCATCGACGAAGAGGCAAAGAAAGGCGGGAAAAAAAGAAAATGAGTGGGAAGTTGGACTTTAAAAAGTTTGAAAGAAAGAAATTGGAACTCTCAGACCTACATGATGTCCATGTAGAGATGTGAAGGCTTGTGTTGGATACACCTGGGACTGGAGATCACAGTAAATAATCTATGTGACAAAGAGTGTTTGTCTAATCTGGGACAGTGACCAAGAGAAGAATCTACCAGTACTGCTCCTTCAGGTCATATAGACGTTTGATTGTTTCATATGGCACCAAACAATTTCCAGTTGTTCATAATATGTTGCATCCAGCTTGTTTCTGTTATATAAACCCACATAGATAATGTATTAACTATTTTAAGACTTCCATACCAACCCCAACCAAACTGTGCTGGCTCTTTTTCAGCATTTTTCCGACAACTGTGTTGGATGTGTAACTAGGCCGGCTCAGAACAGCTTGGTTTGGCTCAGTAGTGTGCAAAGCCCTTTAGGTGTTTGATGTGTCAACACTGTCAGAAATGGACAATGCTCAGCTGTCCAGTGTTGAAATAGGTCCAATACAAATATTGACTTAGAAGAGACACTGAATGATTAGCCCTTTTTTTTGTTATTTCTGTTCCTTGGCAACCACCCTCTCACAACAGGGTGGTTTATATATTCATACAACGTTAGCGTTAAAGTTGTTTCTGTTATATTGTGTATGGTTCATATGGCATGATTGTTAAATGATATATCAGTGTTTCCCAACTCAGGTCCTTGTGTACTACCATCAGACAAAAACACCTGTTTCAACTTGTCATGGGCTTGATGATTAGTTGACAAGTAGAATCAGGTGTGCTTGGCCTGGGACCACAACGAAAATATGTACTATTGTGGGTAATGAAGGACCGGAGTTGGGCAGCACTGTGATATAGGATCTAAGATTTAATGCAATGCATGTTGAAGGAGCGTAGCACTGCCACTAGTAACAGTCCCTCTAGTCTAAAGAAAACCCATCTCAGCAATACCACCAGTGCTAGAGTTGGGCTGGTGTTTATCGGTACAAAGTGAACACTAGTACTGTATAGAAACCGTAGTACTGTCGAATTAAATTGAGTACCAGAATATTTTTTTTATTCCACTTAAGGCACTGAATACCTAGACAGCTAGATGAGGACAGGGACCTTAAAGTACACTGCTTGTATACAATCAACACTGTAAATTACTAGGCTACACTAGTAAACAAAGCTATTGTTTGTATGAGCCTGATCCCAGATCTGTTTGGCCAACTCCTATTGTTTACCTATGGTGCCAAACATGGGCGTTGTCAGGATGGGACAAACAGATCTAGGATCAGGTTAGGACACGGCCAGGGGATATTATGATGCTGAGAAGAACCATAACGAAGCAGTCCAGACAGTCCGCTAAACCGAGTAAAAAAATAAATAAAATGAAAGGTATTTCTGTATCTATTTTAGATATTTATGAAGAGAGATAATGTGCGATAGTAAGCATCCATGCACTGAGATGAATTATGTGTGTTGTCATTGTATACTCCAGAGAGATTAGTTTTTCTTTTTACTTCTAAAATGTAAGATAAGATGAGACCCTGCTTGAAATGCTGTGCTTGTCCATGAGCTGAGCGGATGACTTTAACATTCAACAGCTGTCTGTTTGTTCTTAATGCACTTGGACCAAAACTAGTCTCACTTGGCAGACTCATACAGTGGCTGTGGGAAAGAGACCAAAACCATTTCCCCTGGAACCATTCAAACTTGTTGAATAGTTACTGACTGTTGTTTCAGTGTAAAGTCGTGTTGCTGTTCTGTTCTGTTCTCTTAGTGTAGTCTTTTTAAACCGTTTAGGCTGTGGTTTATGGTTGATTCCTGATTGATCCATTTTGTTTTATCATTCCTTTGCTATTTGTGTTTTTTGGTGGTCAAATAAAGAATATTTTTACGACGCATCCAGTAAACGGGAAGACTGTTGCCATGTGTTGTTGTCCTGTGGAACAGCTGTGCCCTGAGGGACTAGGGTAGGATGTGCTCTCCTCTCCTCTGGGTAGCCATGTGGGTCAGGTGATAGGCCTTGGTAGGGTTGACTGAGAACACACGCACCACCGGCCTATTAAGCTAAGTGGAATTCAACCATTTTGGATGCTGCAGAGATACAAATGTCACGCACAAACCTGGCACGATTCCCTATTCTACTGGGTAGAGAATAATGTCTGCCCAGGACACCTTTCTCTCTGAGCGTTCTGTAATGCAGTCTCCTGGATAAGTGCTGACTTCCAAGTTCAGGGTGTTTTCTTGTATTGATTGTTCCTTCTCTGCTGTGTGCGTGGTAGCCTGCCTATGACAGTGAGATGGACTCAAATACAGAGGCCCTCTGTGCACTATGACCAACGACGTGCCCCAGACTCCCTTTGGATGGATACATCTCTAACCATCCAATGACCAACCCAGAGACAAATATTCAGAAACCCTCTACAAACAACAACAAACCTATTTTTAAAACATGGCTCTGGACTCGATTCCCACGGGGGACCAGTATGAAAATGTATTCACTAACTGTAAGTTGCTCTGGATAAGAGCGTCTGCTAAATGAGTAAAATGTAAATGGACCAACCTCTCTCTTTCTCTCTCCAGCCCATAGGAATATAATTACTGTACTATTCTAAATCTAGTCATTCTACTGCTACGCCCAAGCCACTGATTATGATTCATATTAATGTTAGTCATGCGTTAGGAAAAAGAGTGATCTGCGATGTTCTGGACTGTGAGCCACTTACATCCAGAGATCAACTGGCGAAAAGCTGGTTTATCCTCCAGCTCTCTAGCCTCTGAACAATGCCCCTGGCTTGCTCCAACACGTGATCACATTCACCACAGCAGGACTGGGGAAAGAGGGAGAGAGAGAGAGGATGGTAGAGTGATAGATCGAGAGAGAGTAGCAGTGAGGGGGAGGGGGGGGGGGGGGGGGAGCGGGAGGGAGAGCGAGAGGGGACAGGAGAGACCGAGAGTAGCATTGGATAGAGAGAGGGGGGGGAGTGGGGAAAGCGGGAGGGAGGGAGGGAGAGCGAGAAGGGACAGGAGAGAGAGGAGAGGGGGAGAGACCGAGAGTAGCATTGGATAGAGAGAGGGGGGGGAGTGGGCAAAGCGGGAGGGAGGGAGAGAGAGCGAGAAGGGACATGAGAGAGAGGAGAGGGGGAGAGACCGAGAGTAGCACTGGATAGAGAGAGAACAGAGTGCTCCAAGTGAAAGTAACTGAATACATGTTCACTGCTCCGCTCCTTGCTTAATCCCCATGTTTATGGTTTCAGCCCTCTCTGTAACCCCTCCCCCACTGTGTTATCGCTGTGTATTATCACTGTGGCATTTGGTTTATTTAATACCCTGTTCCTGCCCATCCCTGCCTGACTGGCTGGAAATATGGTGACTGGCACACTGACCAAACTGCAGCTAAAGCCACTTCTTAAATTAGTTGAGCCTCCCAAATGGCACCCTATTCCCTATGTAGTGCACTACTTTTGACCAGAGCCCTATGGGATGCAAACATGGTGACTGGCCCACTGCCGAGGCTTCAGCAACTTCATGAAATTGTATTTCTGTTTCCGTGTTGCATTATTGGCCTGTGGTGAAATAAGGTAAATAATGTTGACGTGTAAAAAAAAAAAAAAATTACATTTCAAGAAGTCAGCTTTAAAAAGGTATTACTTTTATTGCATTACCTGAGTGGCTGTTTATCATTACCACCCCTGCTATTGACATAAGGCAGTTTGTAGGTTAGTGTGTATGTCTCCTGTTGGGTTTAGTGTGTATGTCTCCTGTTGTGTTAGTGTGTATGTCTCCTGCTGTGTTAGTGTGTATGTCTCCTGTTGTGTTAGTGTGTATGTATCCTGTTGTGTTTAGTGTGTATGTCTCCTGTTGTGTTTAGTGTGTATGTCTCCTGTTGTGTTAGTGTGTATGTCTCCTGTTGTGTTAGTGTGTATGACTCCTGTTGTGTTTAGTGTGTATGTCTCCTGTTGTGTTTAGTGTGTATGTCTCCTGTTGTGTTAGTGTGTATGTATCCTGTTGTGTTAGTGTGTATGTCTCCTGTTGGGTTTAGTGTGTATGTCTCCTGTTGGGTTTAGTGTGTATGTCTCCTGTTGGGTTTAGTGTGTATGTCTCCTGTTGTGTTAGTGTGTATGTCTCCTGTTGTGTTAGTGTGTATGTCTCCTGTTGTGTTAGTGTGTATGTCTCCTGTTGTGTTTAGTGTGTATGTCTCCTGTTGTGTTAGTGTGTATGTCTCCTGTTGTGTTTAGTGTGTATGTCTCCTGTTGTGTTAGTGTGTATGTCTCCTGTTGTGTTAGTGTGTATGTCTCCTGTTGTGTTAGTGTGTATGTCTCCTGTTGGGTTTAGTGTGTATGTCTCCTGTTGGGTTTAGTGTGTATGTCTCCTGTTGGGTTTAGTGTGTATGTCTCCTGTTGTGTTAGTGTGTATGTCTCCTGTTGTGTTAGTGTGTATGTCTCCTGTTGTGTTTAGTGTGTATGTCTCCTGTTGTGTTAGTGTGTATGTCTCCTGTTGGGTTTAGTGTGTATGTCTCCTGTTGTGTTAGTGTGTATGTCTCCTGTTGGGTTTAGTGTGTATGTCTCCTGTTGTGTTTAGTGTGTATGTCTCCTGTTGTGTTTAGTGTGTATGTCTCCTGTTGGGTTTAGTGTGTATGTCTCCTGTTGGGTTTAGTGTGTATGTCTCCTGTTGTGTTTAGTGTGTATGTCTCCTGTTGTGTTAGTGTGTATGTCTCCTGTTGTGTTTAGTGTGTATGTCTCCTGTTGGGTTTAGTGTGTATATCTCCTGTTGTGTTTAGTGTGTATGTCTCCTGTTGTGTTTAGTGTGTATGTCTCCTGTTGGGTTTAGTGTGTATGTCTCCTGTTGTGTTTAGTGTGTATGTCTCCTGTTGGGTTTAGTGTGTATGTCTCCTGTTGGGTTTAGTGTGTATGTCTCCTGTTGTGTTTAGTGTGTATGTCTCCTGTTGTGTTTAGTGTGTATGTCTCCTGTTGGGTTTAGTGTGTATGTCTCCTGTTGGGTTTAGTGTGTATGTCTCCTGTTGGGTTTAGTGTGTGTCTCCTGTTGGGTTTAGTGTGTATGTCTCCTGTTGTGTTAGTGTGTATGTCTCCTGTTGTGTTTAGTGTGTATGTCTCCTGTTGGGTTAGTGTGTATGTCTCCTGTTGTGTTAGTGTGTATGTCTCCTGTTGGGTTTAGTGTGTATGTCTCCTGTTGTGTTAGTGTGTATGTCTCCTGTTGTGTTTAGTGTGTATGTCTCCTGTTGTGTTTAGTGTGTATGTCTCCTGTTGTGTTTAGTGTGTATGTCTCCTGTTGGGTTTAGTGTGTATGTCTCCTGTTGTGTTTAGTGTGTATGTCTCCTGTTGTGTTTAGTGTGTATGTCTCCTGTTGGGTTTAGTGTGTATGTCTCCTGTTGGGTTTAGTGTGTATGTCTCCTGTTGGGTTTAGTGTGTATGTCTCCTGTTGTGTTTAGTGTGTATGTCTCCTGTTGGGTTTAGTGTGTATGTCTCCTGTTGTGTTTAGTGTGTATGTCTCCTGTTGTGTTTAGTGTGTATGTCTCCTGTTGGGTTTAGTGTGTATGTCTCCTGTTGGGTTTAGTGTGTATGTCTCCTGTTGTGTTTAGTGTGTATGTCTCCTGTTGTGTTAGTGTGTATGTCTCCTGTTGGGTTTAGTGTGTATGTCTCCTGTTGGGTTTAGTGTGTATGTCTCCTGTTGTGTTTAGTGCTCCACTACCTTACAGGTGGTAGTGTTATTATGCTGACCTAACCACTGTAGTAGGACGCTATTATGCCGTTTTGTAAACGAGTTGTTTACTGCTTTAAGGACCACCATCTGCTTTAATGACCATCATCTGTTTTTCAGTTGTATTTAATGTTCCGTTTTTTTTTTTGCTGCCATTTGATAAAATCAATAAACCACCCCTGATTTACTGGACTGTGTTGTTGTTGTTGTTGTTGTTTTTGTTGTAGGCTTATCTAGTATTACAGGCACGCGCCTAACAAAGACAGTTCTGGTGACTTTAGGGCTCGCCTACTTTTCAATGTATTTTATATTTAATTGCAATGCTCCGTCTGTATCGCACATAATCGAGAAAGTAAACTGATTTATGACGTAATTTACGTAATATACGTAATCAAAAATGTATCGCTCGCTACCTAGACTAGAGCCAGTGATTTAGGTCTATATAGACCATCAAACTACTTATGAATTGATTCGTCGTGAGAGAGGTAAGGTTCGTCATTTCAATGTAAATGTTTTTGGGCTGCTTTGCTTGATTTTCTATGTTATTTCTGTTGTCAATTTCCTTTGTGACCGTCAAACCTTTGAGTGCGTAGGTACGTACGGAGTCGTGCGCGCATCTCTTAGCTCGAGCCAAAGATGGTTGATAAATAAAGATGTCTCACAAGGGCCGTTTACCGTTGATAAAAATGGTCACAGTTCTGGTCTGCGTAAGGGGTGGCTCTCCCATAGGAACCAATGCATTAGCAGCTTGGTCTAGTCTGCTTAGTTCATTCACTGTGTATAAAACAGAAAAAAGGAGCGAGTAACATGTCTCGCTTACTCTTCCGTCTCTGGCCGAAGTATTGCACTGTTGCGTCAGTCCCGCATCACAGAGGCCAGAGCCAAAACCATATCAAAGAAACTGATCAAACGTACAAAGGGGGCTCTAGTTATTTTCACATCAAATAAAAAATGTATTGCCTGTTTCTGTATAAGCCCTGCAGAAGCCTGTCACTAGTGGATTAATACAATTGTTTGGATAGATTTTAATGAGCTCAAAATAGTCTGCATTTCCCGAAAATACATCAATCTATCCATTATCCATTCGTGTCTCCATGGATGTATCCATACATTTTTGGATATGCCTACAAATGTACCATATCCATATTCTATTCTATTATTTGTTACTCTTCTCTACTCTTCTCTACTAGTTCAACAGAATCCCAACACATTGAGATAGTCCTCTCTTCCTGGGTGATTTGGGTGGTCCAGTGGAGAGCCTGTGGAAAGGTCAGAGGTCGAGATGCCCGTGTACCGAGCCCCGCTGGGTGCTGGCGTCCTGGGGGAGGATGGCGATGATGATGAAGATGACACAGAGGAGGAACTCCCGTCCATCTTGCCCGTCCTGGACGAGAGGCGGAGGCGCGGTGAGCAGATCAACAAGATCAGGGACTTCCTGAACTCAGCCGTGGAGAGGGAGACAGACCTCGCCCTCCTACTGGACTGGCTCACTGAAGCACGTGAGTGACTGCACCTCAAATGGCACCCTATTCCCTATATAGTGCACTACTTTTGACCAGGGCCCATAGGGCTCCGGGTCAAAAGTAGTGCACAATCTCTGATCAAAAGTAGTGCACTATATAGGGAATAGGGTGCCATCTGGGACTCAAACCCTGAATTGGATATTTAATACATTTTATAGGGATGTCTATCTATCTATGCAAATTGTCAAATGCATTGTTTATGTGAGTGAATGTGCTTGTACTTCCTATTTCCAAAATCAAATGACTGGGTGGTGTGTAGACATTACTCATGTCGTAAACCTGCACAGCCTGGTCTCATAGACTAGACGTAACATAGTAAATGAAATTCCGGTACACTCAAATTAGTATGATATATTACATTTGGTATGGTTACATAAGACAGAAGGTTACTTAAGGCAAAAACTAAAGGAAAGGAAAGGTAAAGGGGGATACCTAGTCAGTACAACTGAATGCATTCAACTGAAATGTGTCTTCCGCATTTAACCCAACCCCTCTGTGCTGGGTGGTTGGATGGGCATATAATGCGAATGTCTAGCAACCCAAAGGTTGCGTGTTCAAGTGTCGTCACAGACAACTTTAGCATTTTAGCTAATAAGCAACTTTGCAACTACTTACTACTTTTTAGCTACTATTTGCAAGTACTTAGCATGTTAGCTAACCCTAACCTTAACCTATTAACATAACTCCTAACCCTAACCTTAACCTCTAACCCTAACCCCTAGCCTAGCTAGCCTTAGCCACCTAGCTAACATTAGCCGTAGCTACCTAGCTAACGTTAGCATTAGCCACCTAGCTGTCTCCTGAGTGGCGCAGTGGTCTAAAGCTAGAGATCCTGGTTCGAATCCAGGCTCTGTCGCAGCCGGCCGCGACCAGGAGACTCATGGGCGGCGCACAATTGGCAATTGCAATGCCAGGGTTGTGGGTTCGATTCCCACGGGGGGCCAGTATGAAAAAGAAAAAAATATGTATGTATTCACTAACTGTAAGTCACTCTGGATAAGAGCGTCTGCTAAATGGCTAAAATGTAAAATGTAGCTAACTTTAGCTACAACGGTCCTCTGTAGCTCAGCTGGTAGAGCACGGCGCTTGTAACGCCAAGGTAGTGGGTTCGATCCCCGGGACCACCCATACACAAAAATGTATGCACGCATGACTGTAAGTCGCTTTGGATAAAAGCGTCTGCTAAATGGCATATTATATTATTATTATTATAACAAAAAGGTATTCGTAACATATCATAGGTATTGCAAATTCGTAACATATCATATGAATTGTAATTCGTAACATATCATACAAATTTCAATCGTAACATATCATACGAAATGGATGATGGACATTCACAAATTAATACATACCATACCAAATGTAACATATCACACTAATTTGAGTGTCCCGGATTTTCATTACTATGCTACGTCTACCCCTGAGTCCAGGTTGACCTGCTGGACATGTTTTGCATTGGCTACACTGTAATTACTGCAGTAACCCTGTTCAGTCTTGATTATAGGTTCTTGAACTTGTCCCAAGCATAACAATGTGTTCATCTGGAATAGTTAGCTAACTTTTTTCGGGAGACTTATTCATACTGGTTTCGAATGTCAGACTTTTAAACCTGCGATATGGTTACATAAATCACCACTGGGATATAGGGCTACTCATTTGGCACCTTGATGTCACTTTATCGCTAACCACCACACCTGTGCATGTCTCTACCCATACCCCTGTCTAGTGTATAGGCATAATCAATACGCAATCAATTTTTACATTTTTAGTCATTTAGCAGACGCTCTTATCCAGAGCGACTTACAATATTATCTCTGTTCTACGGTCTACAGAGGAGTCACTACAGACGTTTGAGAATGAGAGAGAAAGAAAGAAAGAGGGGGAGGAGGAGGAGGTGACATCAGAATGGATTGAAGACATACACAGAAAGTTGGAGATGTCTATCAATGATACGGACGGCTGCATTCACCGCCTACGTGGCCTCTGCCAAGGCCTCTTTAATACCGACGTGAAAAAGACCAAGAAGGAGGAAGCTGGTGAGATTGAGTATGAGAAGATAAACGCATAATGTCTCTAGTATTTCTGACAAATAGATTCTCGTTAAGACTCACTTGCTCTCCACAGAAGTCTTGATTTCACTCTAACTAACTAACTAACTGTATTATGACGTGAATACTTTAGTAGTATGACTGAATGTTCTCCAGTGAACGTTCTGTGATGATAGCAGGCCTATGTTCTAGCTGAGGAGAGTGTATCCTCATAATGCTGAATGGCTAATGCTACAGAGTGTATTTGCAGCTCTGAATAAGGGTGGTGTGTGGCGCTGGTGGAGGGAGCAGAAGGTGGACGCCCGGACCATCAAACGGATCCAGGAGCTCCAGCCCCCTGCTGCGGATGTGTTTCTAGCTGACGTCAACCTGGCCACCAATTCTGCCACGGAGCTGTCCTTCATGCTCTTAGACATAGCCAAGTCACTAGGCTGCAACAAGAGAATGAGTCTGGCCTTTAAGTTCGTAACGGTAGGTCGCACACCAGACCTTAACGGTAGGTCGCACACCAGACCGTAACGGTATGTCGCACACCAGACCGTAACGGTAGGTCGCACACCAGACCCTAACGGTAGGTCGCACACCAGACCGTAACGGTAGGTCGCACACCAGACCCTAAAGGTAGGTCGCACACCAGACCGTAACGGTAGGTCGCACACCAGACCGTAACGGTAGGTCTCACACCAGACCGTAACGGTAGGTCTCACACCAGATCGTAACGGTAGGTCTCACACCAGACCGTAACGGTAGGTCGCACACCAGACCCTAACGGTAGGTCGCACACCAGACCCTAACGGTAGGTCGCACACCAGACCGTAACGGTAGGTCGCACACCATTTTTTTACATAATTTTAGTCATTTAGCAGACGCTCTTATCCAGAGCGACTTACAGTTAGTGAATACATATTTTTTTTATACTGGCCCCCCGTGGGAATCGAACCCACAACCCTGGCGTTGCAAACGCCATGCTCTATCAACTGAGCTACATCCCTGCCGGCCATTCCCTCCCCTACCCTGGACGACGCTGGGCCAATTGTGCGCCGCCCATGAGTCTCCCGGTCGCGGCCGGCTGCGACAGAGCCTGGATTCGAACCAGGATCTCTAGTGGCACAGTTAGCACTGCGATGCAGTGCCTTAGACCACTGCGCCACTCAGGACCGTAACGGTAGGTCGCACACCAGACCGTAACGGTAGGTCGCACACCAGACCCTAAAGGTAGGTCGCACACCAGACCCTAACGGTAGGTCTCACACCAGACCCTAACGGTAGGTCGCACACCAGACCCTAACGGTAGGTCGCACACCAGACCGTAACGGTAGGTCGCACACCAGACCGTAACGGTAGGTCGCACACCAGACCCTAACGGTAGGTCGCACACCAGACCGTAACGGTAGGTCTCACACCAGACCGTAACGGTAGGTCTCACACCAGACCCTAACGGTAGGTCGCACACCAGACCGTAACGGTAGGTCGCACACCAGACCGTAACGGTAGGTCGCACACCAGACCGTAACGGTAGGTCGCACACCAGACCGTAACGGTAGGTCGCACACCAGACCGTAACGGTAGGTCGCACACCAGACAGTTCTCTGGGGACATGTATTGGTCTGCTAAGGCCAGGATTTTATCAAAGGCACTTCGTCCGCTAGTGCACTGCACTTGACTCACACCAGACAGTTCTCTGCACTTGACTCACACCAGACAGTTCTCTGCACTTGACTCACACCAGACAGTTCTCTGCACTTGACTCACACCAGACAGTTCTCTGCACTTGACTTATTTAAGTTTGAGCCTACCGCCACAGAGTTGACCATGAATGTTATCTCCGTCTGGGAAATTGCCATTAAAATGTGCATTGTCAAAAGTGCAGTGTGCTTGTCAATGATACGCTTTCGATTGGCCTCAATTTTTAATGTATGCACTCACTGCACTGTAAGTCACATTGAATTAAAGCCTCTGCTAAATGGTATACACATACGTTTCGTTATGATCAGGTAGGGCTGCAGAACCTTAACCAAGCGTTCCAGGAACGCACCAAGGAAGCCGGGAAGCTTCTGGCACGGGTGGAGAAGCTGCAGTCTGTGGACTGTGGCTTCGAGCTGGCCCAGATGAAGATCCAACTGGGAGACAGTCAGATCAAGATGACCAAGCTGGAGGATGAGCTGGCATCAGTCAGGGAGCAGAAAGATGCTCTACTGTTCCAGATCCAACAGATGCATGAGATCCCAAAACATCCAAGGCTGAAACAACAGATAATGGTCGTTGCTCCCCCAAAAATCGTACAGGATGCTCCAGTTCGCAACGACCAGCTGGTTCTGCAACCAACCCCCAAGCCTAAGTACCCCAAACGGAGGCCGAAACCAAAGCCAGAGCCAGGCCAGCCTGTTGGCGAAGAAGTCGAAGAAGTCGAGTCTCTGGAAGACATCTCAGTGGATCCAGAAGATATCATAGAAGAGGTGGAGAAGAAGAGCATTGATCTTCTGGAGGACATCCAGAAGTCTGTATTTAAGCTCATTGAGCAGTGCGTGGTGTCACTCCCTGGTAACAAGGACAAGGGGAAAGATGGCGAGCTGCTGGAAGGGATGGATGCGGCCAGCAGAAAAGCCAAGGCAGCTGATGTCATCAAGCTGTACTGCGTTCTACAGAGGTCCATCAGAGACTCTTTCAATGGCATGATCACGAAGCTCCAGGTAGGAGCACATCAGCATATTGTTGCAAATTCGGGGGGTAGCCCCGGTCCAGCGAATGTCAACCCAACACCTTAGCCATTACACCAAGAGATCCGAACATCTCGATGAGGTCGCTAGGTGTTGGGTTAGGTGTTGGGTGAAGTTTTCTGCATCATACTAGCCGACATTTTGTCTTTATTTTATTCTTAGGGACCTTTGTCCCACAGACATTCTCTCATTGTGGTGACTCCCCTCTAGGGAAAGTTTGCCGACGACATCATAGACGTGCCGCTCATGGACAACGACAACAAACTGGACGAATCAGCGTTCTGGGACTCAACCCAGAAGACTCCAGGAGACATGCTGAAGGAGATCAGCAATGAGATCCAGAACCACGACCGCATGGTGAAGGATGCCGGAGCCAACATACAAGCACTCTTTGACATGGAAGGTGAAAGGATGGATAGATTGATGAATGAATGAATACGTTGCCTCAGCCATTGGAGTACAACAATACATACATAAAAAAAATCATCAAGAATTAATAACACAATGAATTCTAACAACTTACATGGAAAGAAGTTGTTGGAATTGATTGTGTTTTTAATTCTTGATGATTGTTTATGTATGTATTGTTGCACTCCAATGGTGGTCCTCGTTAGGTAAGAAGACTTTGTCGAACCTCAAGGGGAAGAGTCATCGCCACTCCCTGAACATCATCATGGACCAGTTCAAGAACCTCAACGAGATGGGCAAGAAGCAGGTCTTTATTTATTTTTTCATCCCAAATGGCACCATATTCACTATATAGTGCACTACTTTTGACCCGAGCCCCGTGTGACTAAATAGGAAACTAAGTCACTACATAGGGAATAGGGTGCCATTTGGAAGACACCCTCCATAACTATAGCACTTTACTGAAAGCACTTATGTAAGCATGTAGTTATATTCAATCATGCCTTTAGCCTAGGTAGCCTGTAGTTTTGGTCTGTATTTACAATGAGGGAAAAAAAGTATTTGATCCCCTGTTGATTTTGTACGTTTGCCCACTGACAAAGAAAATGATCAGTCTAAAATTTTAATGGTAGGTTTATTTGAACAGTGAGAGACAGAATAACAACAAAAAAATCCAGAAAAACGCATGTCAAAAATGTTATAAATTGATTTGCATTTTAATGAGGGAAATAAGTATTTGACCCCCTCTCAATCAGAAAGATTTCTGGCTCCCAGGTGTCTTTTATACAGGTAACGAGCTAAGATTAGGAGCACACTCTTAAAGGGAGTGCTCCTAATCTCAGCTTGTTACCTGTATAAAAGACACCTGTCCATAGAAGCAATCAATCAATCAGATTCCAAACTCTCCACCATGGCCAAGACCAAAGAGCTCTCCAAGGATGTCAGGGACAAGATTGTAGACCTACACAAGGCTGGAATGGGCTACAAGACCATCGCCAAGCAGCATGGTGAGAAGGTGACAACAGTTGGTGCGATTATTCGCAAATGGAAGAAACACAAAAGAACTGTCAATCTCCCTCGGCCTGGGGCTCCATGCAAGATCTCACCTCGTGGAGTTGCAATGATCATGAGAACGGTGAGGAATCAGCCCAGAACTACACGGGAGAATCTTGTCAATGATCTCAAGGCAGCTGGGATCATAGTCACCAAGAAAACAATTGGTAACACACTACGCAGTGAAGGACTGAAATCCTGCAGCGCCCGCAAGGTCCCCCTGCTCAAGAAAGCACATATACAGGGCTGTCTGAAGTTTGCCAATGAACATCTGAATGATTCAGAGGAGAACTGGGTGAAAGTGTTGTGGTCAGATGAGACCAAAATCGAGCTCTTTGGCATCAACTCAACTCGCCGTGTTTGGAGGAGGAGGAATGCTGCCTATGACCCCAAGAACACCATCCCCACCGTCAAACAGCTGATGCCTGCTGGACTGTTCCTTTACACGGTACCCTGTCCTGTTTATTCTGTTTAGTCTTAGCCCAAACGTTATCGCCATTTCCAGTTGTTGTCTTAGCTCTCTCTAATAACACCTGTGACTGCTTTATGCCTCTCTCCCATGTCAATTATGCCTTGCCTATTGCTGTTTGGGTTAGTTCTTATTATACAATTTCACTGTAGAACCCCTAGTCCCTCTCAAACTGCCTCATATAGTGCCTTTGTTCCACCCCCTATACACGCCGAGACCGGCTCAATCGGTGCATCCAATGACGCTATCTCTTTCATTGTTACCCAACGCTTAGGGTTACCTGAACTGTACTCATATCCTTCCATATCCTTTTCTGTACATAATGCCCTGAATCTTTTCTACAACGCCCGGAGAACTGCCCCCTTTATTCTATGTACCCAACGCACTAGAAGACCAGTTCTTAAAGCCTTTAGTCGTATCCTTATTCTAGTCCTCCTCTGTTCCTCTGGTGATGTAGAGGCTAACCCAGGCCCTGCAGCCCCCAGTATCACTCCTACTCCCCAGGAGCTATCATTTGTTGACTTCTGTAACCGTAAAAGTCTTGGTTTTTTGCACATAAATATCAGAAGCCTCCTTCCTAAGTTTGAGTTATTCACTGCGTTAGCACACTCCGCCAACCCTGATGTTCTAGCAGTGTCTGAATCCTGGCTTAGGAAGGCCACCAAAAATTCTGAAATTTCCATCCCCAACTATAACATTTTCCGTCTAGATAGAACTGCCAAAGGGGGTGGAGTTGCAATCTACTGTAGAGATAGCCTGCAGAGCTCTATCATACTATCCAGGTCTGTGCTCAAACAGTTTGAGCTTCTACTTCTAAAAATCCACCTTTCCAGAAATAAATCTCTCACTGTTGCCGCTTGCTACAGACCCCCCTCAGCCCCCAGCTGTGCCCTGGACACCATATGTGAATTGATTGCCCCCCATCTATCCTCAGAGTTCGTACTGCTTGGTGACCTAAATTGGGATATGCTTAACACCCCGGCCATCCTACAATCTAAACTAGATGCCCTCAATCTCACACAAATTATCAACGAACCTACCAGGTACAACCCTAAATCCGTAAACATGGGTACCCTCATAGATATCATCCTGACTAACTTACCCTCTAAATACACCTCCGCTGTCTTCAACCAGGATCTCAGCGATCACTGCCTTATTGCCTGTGTCCGTAACGGGTCCGCGGTCAAACAACCACCCCTCATCACTGTCAAACGCTCCCAAAAACACTTCAGCGAGCAGGCCTTCCTAATTGACCTGGCCCAGGTATCCTGGATGGATATAGATCTCATTCCGTCAGTAGAGGATGCCTGGTTGTTCTTTAAAAGTAATTTCCTCTCAATCTTAAATAGACATGCCCCATTCAAAAAATACAGAACTAAGAACAGATATAGCCCCTGGTTCTCCTCAGACTTGACTGCCCTTGACCAGCACAATACATCCTGTGGCGTACTGCATTAGCATCAAATAGCCCCCGCGATATGCAACTTTTCAGGGAAGTTATGAACCAATATACACAAGCAGTTAGGAAAGCAAAGGCTAACTTTTTCAAACAGAAATTTGCATCCTGTAGCACTAACTCCAAAAAGTTTTGGGACACTGTAAAGTCCATGGAAAATAAGAGCACTTCCTCCCAACTGCCCACTGCACTGAGGCTAGGAAACACTATCACCACCGATAAATCTACAATAATCGAGAATTTCAACAATCATTTTGCTACGGCTGGCCATGCTTTCCACCTGGCTACCACTACCCCGGCCACCAACCCTGCACCCTCTGCTGCAACTTGCCCATGCCCCCCCGCTTCTCCTTCACACAAATCCAGACAGCTGATGTTCTAAAAGAGCTGCAAAATCTGGACCCCTACAAATCATCTGGGCTAGACAATCTGGACCCTTTCTTTCTAAAACTAGCCGCCGAAATTGTCGCAACCCCTATTACTAGCCTGTTCAACCTCTCTTTCGTAACGTCTGAGATCCCCAGAGATTGGAAAGCTGCCGCGGTCATCCCCCTCTTCAAAGGGGGTGACACTCTAGATCCAAACTGTTACAGACCCATATCCATCCTGCCCTGCCTTTCAAAAGTTTTTGAAAGGCAAGTCAACAAACAGATCACTGACCATTTCGAATCCCACCGTACCTTCTCCGCTATGCAATCCGGTTTCCGAGCTGGTCATGGGTGTACTTCAGCCACGCTCAAGGTCCTAAACGATATTATAACCGCGATCGATAATAGACAGTACTGTGCAGCCGTTTTCATTGACCTGGCCAAGGCTTTCGACTCTGTCAACCACCGCATTCTTATTGGCAGACTAAATAGCCTTGGTTTCTCAAATGACTGCCTCGCCTGGTTCACCAACTACTTCTCAGATAGAGTTCAATGTGTCAAATCGGAGGGCCTGTTGTCTGGACCTATGGCAGTCTCTATGGGGGTGCCACAGGGTTCAATTCTTGGGCCGACTCTTTTCTCTGTGTATATCAATGATGTCGCTCTTGCTGCTGGTGACTCTCAGATCCACCTCTACGCAGATGACACCATTTTGTATACATCTGGCCCTTCATTGGACACTGTGTTAACAAACCTCCAAACGAGCTTCAATTCCATACAACACTCCTTCAGTAGCCTCCAACTGCTCTTAAACACTAGTAAAACTAAATGCATACTCTTCAACCGAATGCTGCTTGCACCCGCCCACCCGACTAGAATCACTACACTCGACGGGTCTGACCTAGAGTATGTGGACAACTACAAATATCTAGGTGTCTGGTTAGACTGTAAACTCTCCTTCCAGACTCACATTAAGAATCTCCAATCCAAAGTTAAATCTAGAATCGGTTTCCTATTTCGCAACAAAGCCTCCTTCACTCATGCTGCCAAACATGCCCTCGTAAAACTGACTATCCTACCGATCCTTGACTTCGGCGATGTCATTTACAAAATAGCCTCCAACACTCTACTCAGCAAATTGGATGTAGTCTATCACAGTGCCATCCGTTTTGTCTCCAAAGCCCCATATAATACCCACCACTGTGACCTGTACGCTCTTGTTGGCTGGTCCTCACTACATATTCGTCGCCAAACCCACTGGCTCCAGGCCATCTATAAATCACTGCTAGGCAAATCCCCGCCTTATCTTAGCTCATTGGTCACCATAGCAACACCCACCCGTAGTCTGCGCTCCAGCAGGTATATCTCACTGGTCATCCCCAAAGCCAACACCTCCTTTGGCCGCAATTCCTTCCAGTTCTCTGCTGCCAATGACTGGAACAAATTGCAAAAATCTCTGAAGCTGGAGACACTTATCTCCCTCACTAACTTTAAGCATCAGTTGTCAGAGCACCTTACCGATCACTGCACCTGTACACAGCCCATCTGAAATTAGCCCGCCCAACTACCTCATCCCTATATTGTTATTTATTTTGCTCATTTGTACCCCAGTATCTCTATTTGCACATCATCTCTTGCACATCTATCATTCCAGTGTTAATACTAATTGTAATTATTTTGCACTATAGCCTATTTTATTGCCTTACCTCCATAACTTGCTAAATTTGCACACACTGTATATATATGTATTTCTGTTGTATTTTTTGACTTTGTTTTGTTTTAGCCCATATGTAACTCTGTGTTGTTGTTTTTATCGCACTGCTTTGCTTTATCTTGGCCAGGTCGCAGTTGTAAATGAGAACTTGTTCTCAACTGGTTTACCTGGTTAAATAAAGGTGAAAAAAAACAACAAAAAAAACATGGAGGTGGAAACATTATGCTTTGGGGGTGTTTTTCTGCTAAGGGGACAGGACAACTTCACCGCATCAAAGGGACGATGGACGGGGCCATGTACCGTCAAATCTTGGGTGAGAACCTCCTTCCCTCAGCCAGGGCATTGAAAATGGGTCGTGGATGGGTATTCCAGCATGACAATGACCCAAAACACACGGCCAAGGCAACAAAGGAGTGGCTCAAGAAGAAGCACATTAAGGTCCTGGAGTGGCCTAGCCAGTCTCCAGACCTTAATCCCATAGAAAATCTGTGGAGGGAGCTGAAGGTTCGAGTTGCCAAACGTCAGCCTCGAAACCTTAATGACTTGGAGAAGGTCTGCAAAGAGGAGTGGGACAAAATCCCTCCTGAGATGTGTGCAAACCTGGTGGCCAACTACAAGAAACGTCTGACCTCTGTGATTGCCAACAAGGGTTTTGCCACCAAGTACTAAGTCATGTTTTGCAGAGGGGTCAAATACTAGTTTCTCTCATTAAAATGCAAATCAATTTATAACATTTTTGACATTTTTGACATTCTGGATTGTTTTGTTGTTATTCTGTCTCTCACTGTTCAAATAAACCTACCATTAAAATTATAGACTGATCATTTCTTTGTCAGTGGGCAAACGTACAAAATCAACAGGGGATCAAATACTTTTTTCCCTCACTGTACACTGACTTTGTATTGTTTAGTTTTTTGTCTTGAGAGCTTTTACAAAACATATTCCTATTTAATATGTATTCTAATACTTACAAATGTCGTAAATTAACTTGACTTGCCTTTGCTTTGTAAATACTTGGGTGGTCTAGACAGGTTATCGTAGAAATCTGTGGTCTAGACGGTACTGTAGAAGTCTTTGTGGTCTGCCAAGGTTACGTCGAAATACTTTGTTGGTTAGACAGGTTACTGAGAATACTTTGTGGTCAGACAGGTTACTGTAGATCCTGTGTTGTCTAGACGGTTACTGTAGAAACTACTTTGTGGTCAGACAGGGTTACTGTAGAATACACTTGTTTGTCTAGACAGGGTACTGTAAATACTTTGTGGTCTAGACAGGGTTACGTAAATACTTTGTGTCTAACAGGTTACTGTGATCTTTGTGGTCTAGACATGGTTACTGTAGAATACTTTGTGTCTAGACAGGTTCTGTAGAATACTTGTGGTCTAACAGGTTACGAGAATACTTTGTGGTCTAGACAGGGTTACTTGTAGAATAGTTGTGGTCAACGGTTACGAAATACCTTGTGGTCTAGAGTTACTGAGAATACTTTGTGTCTAGACAGGTACTGTAAATACCTTGTTTGTCTAGACAGGGTTCTGTAGAAACTTTGTGGTGGTTAGACAGGTTACTGAGAATACCTTGTGTTAGACAGGGTACTCTAGAATACTTTGTGGTCAGACAGGGTTACTGTAGAATACTTTGTGTTAGACGGTTACTGTAGATACTTGTGTCTAGACAGGGTTACTGTAGAATACTTTGTGGCTAGACAGGGTTACTGTAGAATACGTTGTTGTCTAGACAGGGTTACTGTAGAATACTTTGTGGTCTAGACAGGGTTACTGTATAATACTTTGTGGTCTAGACATTGTTACTGTAGAATACTTTGTGGTCTAGACAGGGTTACTGTAGAATATCTTGTTGTCTAGACAGGGTTACTGTAGAATACTTTGTGGTGGTCTAGACAGGGTTACTGTAGAATACTTTGTTGTCTAGACAGGGTTACTGTAGAATACTTTGTGGTCTAGACAGGGTTACTGTAGAATACCTTGTGGTCTAGACAGGGTTACTGTAGAATACTTTGTGGTCTAGACAGGGTTACTGTAGAATACCTTGTGGTCTAGACAGGGTTACTGTAGAATACTTTGTGATCTAGACAGGGTTACTGTAGAATACGTTGTTGTCTAGACAGGGTTACTGTAGAATACTTTGTGACTAGACAGGGTTACTGTAGAATACTTTGTGGTCTAGACAGGGTTACTGTATAATACTTTGTTGTCTAGACAGGGTTACTGTAGAATACTTTGTGGTCTAGACAGGGTTACTGTAGAATACTTTGTGGTCTAGACAGGGTTACTGTAGAATACTTTGTTGTCTAGACAGGGTTACTGTAGAATACTTTGTGGTCTAGACAGGGTTACTGTAGAATACTTTGTGGTCTAGACAGGGTTACTGTAGAATATTTTGTGGTCTAGACAGGGTTACTGTAGAATACTTTGTGGTCTAGACAGGGTTACTGTAGAATACTTTGTTGTCTAGACAGGGTTACTGTAGAATACTTTGTTGTCTAGACAGGGTTACTGTAGAATACTTTGTGGTCTAGACAGGGTTACTGTAGAATACTTTGGTCTAGACAGGGTTACTGTAGAATACTTTGTGGTCTAGACAGGGTTACTGTAGAATACTTTGTGGTCTAGACAGGGTTACTGTAGAATACTTTGTGATCTAGACAGGGTTACTGTATAATACTTTGTGGTCTAGACAGGGTTACTGTAGAATACCTTGTTGTTTGCTGATGTAAAAATGACTTTATAAATACATTTGGTTGATTCATTGCTAGGTGTGCAAGATGCGTCTGACCCTGGAGAGCCTAGTGGAGATGCATAGGAAGGTGAACCAGGAGAAGCCTGAGACCAGAGGTTCAGAGGAACCACAACGCACCCCTCAGGTCCACCTCCCCATCCACTCCCCAGAGGAATCAGAGGAGGAACTGGAGGAGCTGGAGGAGATTGAGGTGAATTGATTGATTGATTGAATTTATTAGATACCGTAAAACTTCAATTAAACACAGTCTCAAAAAGCTGCCTGTCCCTTTTAAACGTCTATGGGCGAAGTGAAAGCAGTTAAGGGTTAAGGTTGTTAAAGGCCCAGTACAGTAAAAAACGTGATTTTCCTGTGTTTTATACTGTATATGTTTCTACACTATGAGGTTGGAATAATACTGTGAAATTGTGAAAATTATGATAATGCCCTTTTAGTGTAAGATCTTTTTGAGAAGATGCCTGAAATGTCAGCCTGTTTTGGTGGAATGGAGTTTTTGCTTCCATGGTGACATCACCATGAGGTAAATTAGTTAATAGACCAATAAGAATTAGATTTCCAAACCTCTCTGACAATAACATGTCATTTTCAATTTTCCCCTCCCCACTCAGACCACTCCTGGACAGGCAAACCTGTCATACATATAACATAACACTTACATCTCTTCAGGTGGTGGAAGAGCAGGTGTAAAAGAGAATGTGTTTGTAAATAAACATATCTTCAGGTGGTAGAGAAGCAGAGGAGAACCAGGAGACGTTCCATCCTCGTGCAGAAGACCCAAAAACGGATCCCCATGAAGATGGCCGAGTCCAGGTCCTGGACAGACCATGTGGAACGCTACAGCTCAGACATGACGGTGGAGGGAGACAAGCTGATGAAGACTCGTATGGTGGGAGTGAACCACATCGTCCACGTGGAGTCCCAGAGGTAATGTCTGCATCCCAAATGGCACCCTATTCACTATATAGGACACTACCCATAGGGCTCTGTCATTTGGGAATGGGCCCTGGTCAAAAGTAGTGCACTATAAAGTGAATAGTGTGTGAGGCACATCGTGGACGTGGAGTCCCAGAGGTCTGTATGGTTTTACTCAGATCAAGGTTCAAGAGGGGATTATGTAAGGAC